GAAAATTACTCATTTTCGCATTAATGTTTCTAAATATATATTTGAAAATATGAATTATCTATGAATAAAGCAGTATGAATTTATGGCACAGCTCGAACAAATGTGACGTAAATACAGGGGAGGCTTTTCTTCACCTACTCGAGCTCTCACATACGTTTCCAAGGTTTGAATTAGGCTGTCAAAACACAAAAAAATTATTTACTTGTTTCTAGTGAGTTAATATTTAGAAACTAATTTGGCTTAACACTTATTCATTGCAACTTAATTTATGTTTGCATATTGACTTACGGATGTTTCAAAGAAAATGACTTTTTATCATCTTTTCCTTATTATAATCGTAGAAATAGATTGTGGAAATAGCAAACTAATTTGGTCGTCAAATGATCTGTTATGCCACAGACATATCAGGAAAACTAAAACTAGAAAGTAAGAAAAGACTTGTTAATGTTCAAGTAGAAAAAATAAAGAAATTACGTGTGCATCTTTTTGCTTTCACAAATGAATATAAGAAAATAAGATATGCTGAACTTTGCAGTTAATAACAGAGTTCTAGCAATATCATGCACTTTATGTCATAAACATCATGCTTTAAAAATAGATTTAAACGAAAGACGTTTATTTAAAACCATTTGTGTATAAAGACAAAATAATTTATACATAAGACGAATGTGCAAAATGAAGGTTATGATGTTCGTAAAAAAACGTTAAATCTTCACGTAAATTTTTTTTCAGAAATTTACGCTTTTTCTGTCACGTGAATATGGATGGAGCATGGTTAATGTAAGGCACTCACTCACTAACTATAAATAATTTAAGGCGGTGAGCTTTTCGCCAATAGACAGTGGTCCTCTAGAGGTGAAAAGTTGAAATGGTTTAATATAAAATATTATGCATACACCGTGATGTAGTCGGCCTGAGTCTATTTGCTCAGTGCAATAGCAGATGCCTTTAAAAATCATTACTAAATTCCTCTTTGTACAATACGTACAAATTTGTAGAGCAAGTTCTACAAATATCACCCAATATTTCACGCATATTCTTATCTACACATATCTCACGCAACATCAACAGCTGTGCTAAAAAGTGCATTTTCTGAATCTCCATATTTAGAAGCGTGCAGCTGCATATTGCTAAAATTATGTTTGGAACTAAAAAACATGCAAACAGTTTAAAATGAATATTTGGTCATTACATATTTATTAAAACTTTTCACGATTACTGATTATATTATTTTTGCTCTACACGTTCATTCTCATTTTGCATCTTTGTAATTAAGATATCCATAAAAATTATAGAAAATCCGATCATCAACAACTTTAGGCTATAGCAAGTCTTCTCTATAAATATGAAATGAAAACAGAGACTGGTAAAAAGGTTTCCAGTCTAAATTGCTACAACTGTAGTGTACATATACCATCTGTATCATTGTAAGGAAATAAATGGCTTGTAAGTCTTCTAGAATGGTAATTATGAACATAACAAGACCTCCTGCTTTAGCAAACAAGTATCAACATGTCATTAACAAGGCAAATTGTTTTGTCATCTTTTACAGCTCTTTTAGAAAGTTGACGCATCAAGATCACAAAATGTAGAACAAGAAAAGAGCATCACAAATGGTTAAATGTAGAACAACAAAGTAGTAGTTGCTCGTCAACAATTTCTCATCGTCGTAAAATCGAGATGATAACAACAGAAGTGCCAATAATGCCAAATATGGCAATATAAATGAAAATGATAACAATGATTGCATGTAGCTCATACGCCATTTTCAGTGTTTAACTGTCTGTTGCTTAGACGAGTAATAACGACTAAGTTACTTTGTGGTTTTTATTGACAGAAATGCTGGTTTTATAAAGACGTTTTTATACTTAAGCATCTCAATCATGCCACGTGAACATTAATCTTTCAGCGTTGCCACGTGCCAATTGTTATTTCAATGATCAATTGATATTTTTCAGCCACCATACTACATTTAACAAGGTTTCTTAACGTTTTAAATCGATTAAAGATCTTAATCTTGTTTTCATTACTTCATCATTTTGGAGCATGCGCCGCAGCTTTAAGGACATCTTTTGAGGGCCTTATATTTCAAATTATTCCTTCATAAACTCAGTAATGATGCTAAATTTCGCTTTTATCAAGGGAGCAATTTTGCATCTTAGCAGCCGGAATGCAAAAGCAATGTTGATATTGAAATGTTTATATCCTGTGAAAATATGTTTAAAACACTAATTGCGGATGCACGTTTAACAGTTAATATAGCTACAATGTTTGATAATCCAGCGATTGCAATGCTTTTAAACATGCAAAAACGTTTAATGTTTGAACGCCACGTATTTTTTGTTGTTGTTCACTTGATTCGCGGCAGTCGTTTATTAACCGAAGTATTATTTATCACTTTGTACAAAATATTACTCGTAAATTTAGTAACGTGAAAAATGTTCTCCATTCTTTTCGATGGGAGCCTCCAGCATAACATTCACCCTTTTTTTTCGGCAGTTCCTCCAAAACGTCAGAAGTTTTTGTCCAACAATCCATAGATAAGAGGATTGACAGCATGTGTTGCGAAAATTCTAAGCAGTCGGGTGATGCCGAAAATTATTGACGATGAATAATATTGTCCATTCTAACGAAGAATGAGATGGCGATTGGAATATTACCAATTGCGTAGAAGATGACTGTCAAGATACAAGCAAAAGTTATTTTATGATTTCGCCCATATCTTTGTTTGCTGAACGATGATTTAACTGAATTTCGATTGTGTGAAATTTGGAAAATGTTTTTTTGGTTATAAAGATATTTGACGACATTATAATAAATTACCGCCATTGCTGTTGTGGCAATAAAGCAATAACCAAAGATAATTATATAAGTTTGTATTTTCCAGATCATAGAATTGTCATTATGCTCACAGAAAGGAATAGACATTGCATAACCTAGTATGAACAACACAACGTAAGCCATAGCACAACTGACTTTCATTCTTCGTTTACTTACAGGAGCCTTCAAAGGATATACATTTGCACGGTAACGTAGAACTGAAATCATCAACATCATAATGGTCCTGCCTCAGCAAACAAGATTCCTGTTTCAGTGATATAACAAAATGCTTTATGATGCGTCACTTTTTTAATAAGTTGGCTCATTAAATACACAAATGTGAGAGCCAACCAAATACCATCACATATAGCAAGATGTAAAACGAGAAAAGTAGTAGTTGCTCGTCAACAAACTACGTCGTCGTTGAAATATTGAAAGAATAACAAGAGAATTGCCAATGATACCAAATTTGGCAACAGGACTAGTAAGGATAATAACTGAATGCATTTTATGTGTTTTTGAAGAGTACGACCAACCAAGTTCTTTCTGCTGGTTTTATTGACAGAAACGCCGCACAAAGATAAAACCGTAAATTGATTATAAATTACATGACGAGTTGATTATTCAATGGCAATTTTTCATAAAGTTTCTAAGTGCTGTTTAATTACCTTTTGTTTCTTACCAAACGAAAGCAATTGAACAAGAATTAAATCGCTCAAATTAAACTATAAAGACATTTTACTTTATTGCATAGTTTTAATTTTATAAAGCTGCATGTAGGTGCATCTGGTATATTAGCTAACATTATTAAATGATTAATGGATGAACCTAAATGACTAAATGACTAATTA